TCTCTTTTTTTTTTCCCTGCTGTGTACACAAGGACAGCCCTTGAGTTTCTGGGGAATCTGCTTTTTCTCCTCTTATCCCAGGAGGAACCACTGCAATTGCAGAAACATCGCTAAGTCCAGCTTTTTATGTAGGTTCTGGGGTTCCGGACTCTGTTCTCACATGTGAGGCACATGATTTCCCACGGAGCCATTTCCCAGACATATGTGTGTATTTATGCGTGTCTGCATGTATCCCATTTAAATACATTCACACATTCAATTAAGATACAAGAAGAAACTTTCCTGAGATTATAGGTGGTCATGTTAATTGAGAAGTATTCGTTAGCTCAAAAGTCACACTCCACACCCACTTGCTCTTCAGTTCTTGTACCTGGTTGATTAACAGATCTTTCCCATAACTCTTAGCCTTTTCTTTCTGTCTGTAATAACCGGAGCCTCCCTGGGGCAAGCTGAGCGCCATCCTTTTTAAACACAACTGTATCCATTCTTTATTCCTTGCATATTGTAACCACACTACAAAGAGATTAGCCTTAAAATCTGATTAAAACTCTACTTTCTTAAGCCTTCTAAGGGCTTTCCATTGCTTTAAGGATAAAGATAATGCCATTAAGGTTACCTTTGAAAAAAAAATCACATGATTGACCTCCCTTAACCTCTGTGGTCTCCCCTCCCTCCCTGCCCATTCTTGTTCTTCCAAACTTAACTCAAGCTGTCTTGATATTCTTGGTCATTGTGAATCTCACCTTATAACTACAGAAAATGTTTGCACATTCTGGTCTCTCTGTCTAGAGTCCTTTCTCCTGTCTGAATCCAGCTATTCCCCTCTACCCTTCAAATCACAGTCCAATGGACTCTACCAAGTCTTCTGCAAGCCCTCCCAATGAGGTCAAACCTGAATTCTGTGTTCTCCAAACACTGCTGACTTCTACATGTCTTCCTGCACTTAACCACAGTTTCAGCTTTCCTGTTACCTTTGTTTCTCACTGAATGTGGATGCATGGATGATGTCTAGTTCAGCTTCCTATTACCCTGAACAATGCTTAGCTAACGAATATCCGAATCTGTGGTTATTCACAGAATATTTTGGTGTGGTATTCTTGTTGGATTCTACAGGTAGCAAATGTAATACACAGACATAAGTTAAATCCATGGGAAAACATGGCAGTATTGATTTCAGCTTTCAATTTTGTGATAATTAAGAGAACAAGCCCTCTTGGCATTTGAACTGCAATTTGTAATTTCTCAGCTGGCTAACTCCTGGGAACATACATTACCCATAAAACCTTGCTTTTGTGGGTTAGCATCTTAAGTCCCATCTGCAGTCCAGAATTGTGAAAGCTATGAGCCAGTTTGTTGTCAAAAGATTCAACCCATTAGGTTGGGAAACAAAGACTGTTGTTCATTTTGTAAATGCTGTGTTTTCCAGTAGTCCTCAGCCAAAACAGAACTTAAAGACAAGACAGAATGACTTTTCAACTAGATTAGGGGGAAATACACTTGAGTGCCATTTTCTAATTAATATTCATGGTGTTTTGTTGCGGTTACAACTGAAATAATACTAAGCCAAGTCAAGAGTCATGAGAAGGAGGACTTAGACAAAGTTTTAGTGAGTTTCTGACGGCCTCAAATGTGGGAGCAAGAATGGCAAGTGTCCATCACACAGCTTTCAAATCTCGTGGGTCACCTCAAGCCTTCTTCTCCTGATCAGGGCTGGAGAACAAGGACCCATAGACTGACCGCTTTCCTGAAAAGACGGACTGTGCATGTATATAAATGCCAACTGCTATATTTCAACCAAGCAAAAACACTGCCGCTTTGTGCAAACAGCAAAGGAAATCGATCACTGCTCTGCAGTTCACAGCGTCAAGATGATCCATCCCTTTCCTGGGCGCCCCAGCTTGCTATAAAGAGACTGAAACGTCAAGTCCAATGAACATTGGGCAATATCACTAACAGGTTAAAATTACATTATGAATTAGGCCAAGCCCTTCAACATGTGCAGCATTGGTAAATTAAGTCACTGTCAGTTATTTTTAATGTTGTTGTTTGCAGTGTGGTCCTTGTGTGACTTGCATCAGAATGACCGATGGTGTCCTTCTTGTCTGTCTCCTGAATCCCCCTTTCTTCTCTGTACCGCTTAGATTCTAGTGAAATAGAATCTCTGGGGGTAAGGTATAAATATCACATTTTAATACCTTCCCCTGGGGGGATCCTTTTGGGCCATAACGTTGGAGAATCAGAGTGAATGTTGAGACTGAGGTGGTTAAAAGATGTTTACAGTATTAGGTTCTTCTTTGCCCAAGGGGCAGGGGCTTCTGAAATATGACTGGGTTAATAAACCACACTGAAAGTTGAGTTTAAAAGTCCCCTTTCTGTACTCTGTGCTGTATCGAGTCAGCGAGCCATGTATGTCTTTCTACCAAAATGTTAAACACTGTAGCAGGTGAACTTTCTTTCTTATGAAAGATTTTGTACTGCAGTCCAGTAATTCTAGGTGAATTTTTTGACCTATTGTATACACGACCAGGTGTTTGGGTTTTCTCTGTTTGAGATAATGAAGGGTAATTGCATTTTACTGTTGATTCAATGCCAAAGTAGGGGCTTTGACTCTCCCCCTGACAGCTAATCTATAATGATTACCTTGTAGGAAAAATCTGCTTGCCTTGTGTCTTGCCCCTCAAGCCCTGTTGGGAGTGGAGACATGAGGATTGCTGGATTCCTGGCTGCCAGCCTGGCCCTAGCTTCAATGAGATATCCTATCTCAAGGAAAGAGAAGGCAGAGAAATAGAGCAGGATACTCAAAACCCTCCTCTGGCCTCCACACAGCTACGCAGGAAGAATATATGTACCCTCACATACATATGAACATATAAACCACATACAATTTGCTGAACTATAGTTACACAATGTGTATATTTGTGTGTGTTTATGCATGTATGCATGTCCTTATATGTGTACATATGTGAGCACATGTGTATATGTGTTTGTGTGTGCATGCATGTGTTTGTGTGCATATGTCTGTATCTGTGTATATGCATGTATATGTAGGTATGTGTGGCGTATGTATTAACAAGTCTATGACACACAGTGACCTGGATGCAGAAGATTCAGTTCCTTGGCAGACTGGTTAAGAGAAAGAGAAAGAGATCAAGCTGTTCTTGATCCTTTTGGATACATGAGCAATCCAGTTCCGTACAGAATCACACACGTACGTGAATCAACTTGCTGTCACACTTTGTGGCCTCTTTCTCCTGCACAGCTAGTTTGCATGCCGTAAAATAAAACAATAAAGTAAAAACTGACATTCAGTTTCTGAGCTGCATCCCTCCCCCCAAGGAGAGCCTGTATTGTCCTAGGGATGGGTTTCTATAATCAAATGTCAGAGAAAGTCTCAAGTTGCTGGGATCTGGAGGCCTGGGGAGACTAGAAAGAAAACGAGGCTGTTTTTCAGATCCTTTGTAGCATGCAGCATACAACCTAATAACAGTGTGGAGCTGATAATTTCCTTTTGGTTTACAGATCCTCCCCTCCACCCCCTCCAAAACCCCGGCAGGTTTGCATCTTGAGACTGAATATAAACGCAGAAAAATCGTACACGGGGTTAACATCTTTGAGAAGCCTTGCTAAATAATCAACTCCAGATCAGTTTAGCTTGGCATACAGACTAAAGCGAGAGGCTTGTAGATAAATCCATCGCCCGCCCCCTCTGCGAGAGCGCAAAGCTGAGAGGATCCGCGAGGAGCAACCGAATGTCTGGCAGTGTCTTTCCTCCTTTTCAATGAGCTGTTTACTGAATTCTGGAGTTTATAATGAAACCCAGGCTTACTCTGCGACCCACGTAAACAAGCTCTTGACTCTTGTGCTATCGGGTTTTATGCGAGCAGAGCCGTGGGGGCTCCTTCAGCGGTTGCTGCTTGGAAGGTTCCTGTTTGTTTACGTATGCACATATGGGCTCTGCAAGGATGAGAGTCACGGGATGGGCCTGGCAGGGGAGAGCCAGAAAACAGCTACCCTGCCCTCCCCTGAATCCTAAAAGCATGTAATATGTAAACGGCTTTCCGATTTAGAGACTTCTAAATTTGGTGTGGTTGCCAAGTTACTAAATTACTTAGGATAGGAGCTTCAGGGCGCACAACAGCCTCCCAGGGCACACGGTCTCTTCAAACCAGACGAGCATTTAACAGGGGCTCTTGCAGGCATTGCCACTTCCAAGCGAAATTCAAGGCTGATCAAGCTCCCCCCTACTGTCTCTTATGCCGGCTTCTTACCCCCACCCCCTCCCCCACAAACAAGTTAACCTTTGTCAGGAATGGGTAGAGAGACTGGAGCGATGTTGTCTTTCCTCACACGAAGAAGGACTTTATGCAGCTTAGCTGGCAGTCCCAGTATTGTGATAAAAGTTACTTCTGTAAAATTTGACAACATGGAGGGAATAATGCTATCTCTTGTGTGAGTTGCAATTTTGGAAGATTCCATTGTGAGAAGTTCCCGAGGAATCAGGAGTAGCTGCTGCCAGTGTAGTTATAGAGAGACAGGGTCCTTCGAACCGCTGGGAAAAAAAAAAAAATAAACAAACGGGAAAAACAGAGATATTTATCTGGTTTATGAATTGTAAGGGTTTTTTTTTATTATTGTTTAAAAAGAAACGTAAAATTGTGGGATTGAAGACATGGAATAATTGCATAGCAAAAGCTTCGAGCTGATGGGAAGTTCGGGGCAGTTTTGTCTCATTTTTATCGGATAAAATACATTTGGTTTCTCTTTTGACAAACCATGTATTTGTGAGGGAAGAAAAACGATCATGCACTGTTACTGGCCACGGCTACATAAGAAATCCCCCTGTTGCCAAAGGATACCACATGAAAGTGTCTGTGTGAGGGGAGGGGCCGGCCGGGGGTGGGGCCAAGAAGGATGTTGCCTTAAGCTTCCTATGCTCCGAGTTGCAATTTGTGAACCAACTGTGATGAAATCGCGCCCTGGACGAATCAGATGCGCCTGTCAACTTCCCAGGTGGGATTGCTTGGAGTTAATAGACTGAACTCAGAGCCCCAAACGAACGCAGTGCATTCCGGGCACGCAGCGAACACCCTGCAGAGGCTTTCCAAGAATCCCTCGGCATGGCGAGAAAAGGCTCTTTCGGGTCACACCAGGTAGGCGGAGGATGCAGTGATTCGCGAACTGCTCGATCTTCCGAATCACTTCCATTTGAATACGATTTATTTATTTTTCCTTTCTCCTTGCTCAAATCCAGACATCATCTGAGAAAGCCTTTCGGAATTGGCAGGACTGGGGTTGCTGGACTCGTCTGAACTGCTTCCGTGAATTTAGAAGTCCATCTAATCTAATCTAGCTGTGTTTGACGATTTGATCCTTCATTCCCTTAGGTGATATCCTTGTTCACTTTTGCCATCGGTGTCAACATCTGCTTGGGATTCACAGCAAGTCGGATCAAGAGGGCAGAATGGGACGAAGGACCTCTCACAGGTAAGAGTAGCAGTTATTAGCAGATTTGATTCTTGAGCAGTATTGTGCGTTTAGGCAATCCACTCCAACGCCTTCTTTCAGAGGACCTCAAAGAGCAATGAATTTAGCCTATGTGTATGGGTATTTTGCCTGCATGCCAATGCATAACCCCTGGTACTGGAGTCGCAGACAGTTGTGAACTGCCATGTGGGTGCTGGGAATTGAACCCTGGTCCTCTAGAGGAACCACCAGTGCTCTTAACCACTGAGCCATCTCTCCAGCCTCTAAGAATGCTGTTTTCATCAGAGGACTTTATTGTCACTTCTTAATAACTGTCTTTAAATTTTTGCACCCTGAAATTTATAAATATTGAAAAAGGTAAGACCCTTTTTGTTCATAAATAAAGCCAGACTAACTGCAGTGAAAACCTGTTCTGGTTTAATGATGGGGCGGGATGAGAATGACGATTCAGAGGGGTGAGACAGAGGGGTGTTGCCCTCCTCTCTAAAGCACAGTATTTGCTACCAGAAAGTTATGTCCTGGGAATGAGAAAGGAAGTTAGTTTTTCTTTCATTTCTTTAAGAGATAAACTGTTTTTTTTCTAAAAAAATAAAACTTTAGAAATTAAAAAACGTTGGGACTAAGATTTACTGAGAATAAGGGAGTCCTCCCAGTGGGCTCTTTAGAGGGCTTCAAGAGTCGATCTGCACTCGCTGTGTTCTCTTGGACTGAGGCAAGGTGAGTTTCCCCGAGCCTTCCTGACTTCTGACTTCACTAGCGCAGGCGGAGTGAAAGAGGCTCCTTTGCAGCCCACGGGCAGAGTGGGGCTTCATAAAGGGCTGCTTGTGCCGACCGCCGGGCTCCGCTGACCTGGTCTGAAGCAACGACTTGGTTAATTTCCTGGAAATTGGAGCTGCTGATGGTTTCAGAATTAAAAATTGCATTTGAAATGACAGGCACTCTAGGGGGCAATATTTTCTTCCCTTTCTCTGACATCACAGTACATCCTCTGTCTTCCTGGGAATTTTGGGTTTTCTCTGGATTGGAGCACTGTGAAACACCACCTGTCTCTGCAACACCATAAAATGTGTATTAGTAAGCAAGCTCTGATGGGATAGTGAGTCCTCCACACAGAACGTTACTTGGATTAGGTTTGAGAAGGTGGAAGGAATAGGTTTGAAATGTGGGGGAGGGAGCGGAGGTGAGGTGCAGTTTGAAGGAAGAATGAGAAAACAGATCTTAAAAAATTGGGGCCCCAGGGAGCCAAATGGACAAAACTTCATTGTGTTTCGCTGGGGAGGGAGGAGAGGGGTCACTGGGCCAGAAGAGAATGCTGTTTTTATTGGAGGCAAATGCTGTCTTCAAAGCCCTCTTTTTCACTCCTGCTAAGGCTGATTGTGACTAACAGACAGGGCCCTTGGTGTGGGCATGTGGCCCTGACAGCCCACTGCCGGCTCTTTCCAGTGAGGCTAAAAGGAGCCTTTCTTCTGCTTCCTCTAAGTGATATTGACAGGAGTCAATGCTGTTTCTCTGATCACTGTGTGGTTTTCAAACTTGACTTTTGTGGGACCTGGATCATGATGCTCCTAGCCTGGTCCCCTGGGTCCATATTAGTAAGTGTTATGGCCACAGGTAGGTCACTTGTAAAGTTTCAGCCCTCAGCAGTGAGGGTCAGCCTCTAGGTCTCTAGTTTATATTTAAAAAAAAAATCCTCAGGTCCTCCCATCCTGCGTCACTCTCTCTGAAATGTGTGAGATTGCTACCAGAAAACTTGAAAAGTATAGATTAAATGTATTACCCCTGAAAACATTGCTCATACAAGAAATTATTTCCATATGCCGTGGGAAATAGTTACCAGAACGAAGGTGTCAATATAACGTCTGGGAAACTAGTCTAGTCTGTATAACTAGTCTAGTGAGTATAACTCGTCAGATGACGTTAACTATAGTGATAGCTCACTTACACCTACCTGCCTATGTGAAGCGTAGTCTTAGGACGTCATACAATTGGCACTCGAGTTTCAGGGTTTGGCTATATACTTCTGTGGTTTTTATTCTTAAGCTACTTTTTAATGCAGCTTACCTGCTGTCTACATACTGGGATTCACTTCTGCTGAAATAGAAAAGACCAAAGATGCCTCTTAGAAAGTGGGGGAAAGCGGTGTGTAGCTGGGGGTTTATGTCTTTTTAAATGCTAACTACCTGGGAAGGGGGGAAGCTCCCAAATAACAAGTGACAGGTTATCCTGGCTATTAGCAAAATGTTTGCATCAGAAAACATTGGCTTCGTTTTTCCTACACCTATTAAAATAAGAGTTAAGAGAGAAAGCACCCCAATTTTTTTCCTTTAAATAACACTCTCAGGCTCCCAGCAAATCCTGCAAACTCAGTGCCACCAGGTGTTTCACCAGCAGGAGAGACACAAAGAGGTTTTTTTTTTTTTTTTTTTTTTTTTTTTTTTTTTTTTTTTTTTTTTTTTTTTTTTTCAAAGCACACAGCTTCTGATTGAGTCCTCGGGGCTCCAGAATAACGACAGAGAATGTTTTGTATGCATGAATACTCTCACTGCTGCCCTGTGAACTGAGGTGTCTGTTCCAAGGCTGTGACCATGCGAAAAAACTTAGCATTGATTAACTAGCACACTTGTTAGCTGGATTTGTGTTAGGACCTGGTCACCTGTCAGAAGCAGGGGGACTTAAGAGTTCTCCCGGATCCTGAGGTGTGTAGGAATGCTGTGGCCGCTCCTTCTGCACAGAAGGTGTAAAATGACCAGAGTGAGTTATAATATTCCAGAAAAGGGACGCTGCGCTAAATGGGCAACAGAAATCAAATTTCCAAGGAAATCTCAGTGCTGAAAGTTCAGCTGGATTTCTTTGTTTCGAAAGGCGATGTAGGCACTCCATTTATCTTATAAGGATGGAGAGAAAAATCTATGTGCATGCCGCTGTCTGCACACTGGCATGTGTTGTGGATGCGGTCCCTGGAGTCGTGGGGGAGAATGTATTACAGAAGTACTCAGGGGGACAGGGGTACTCTTTGAACTAGAAGCAATGTGACCTTGGAGAGATGTGTGGTTTGACTAATAAATATCCGATAACCCAGTCCAATTTATCATCATTTCTATTGGTTTAAAAGGAGTGATTAAAAGCACACGAGTGATGGATTTTTTTTAGTATAAGTATTAAATGAAAACCATAACTAAAAATTTTATGAGAAAACAGAAAATCTTACTAGGGATGAGAAGGCTCAGGTTCTTTGATGATTTGAGGAGTCTCACTGTACACTTGAGAGCAGTTTAAATAACAGCCCGGGGAATGTAGGAAGATACAAAATGATGGTCAGCCATCACTCCGTGAGGAAGTGGTCAGATAGGGCATAATGTGCACTGTGGCTTCCTGTTAGATTGAACGTAGAAACCGGGGAGTGTGCATCAGTGGGATGAAATCAGCCAAGTTAGAATTCAGGGTGTCATAGATTTTGCATTTCTTTGTTGAGTGGGGCTTGGTGCAGTGGTTTTCCCATTTAAACATATATAGCAGAGAATTCTCTACCATGTTTGCATATCTGAAATTTCAGTGTGCTTTGTTCAACATAGATTTTTTTCTTTTTGTTTTTTTTCTTCACTTTTTCTGTTATTGAAAATAGATATTTTTTATACAGTATATTCCAATTATGGTTTCCTCTCCCCCAACTCCTTCTAGACCCTCTCAGTCTCCTCTCCCACCTGAATCCACACCCTTTCTGTCTCTTTTTAGAAAGCAAACAGGCATCTAAAGAATAATAATACAATAAGAGAAAACAAACGATCTAGCATAGAACACTCAAAATTTGGAGCTTGCTTATGAAGTTTGAAAAACTCCTTAGTTAATGAAAAGTGGGGTATAATACTGAACTCTGTAATCCCAGTAGTTGAGAGGCTGAGATTGGAAGGTTCAAGTTCGAGGCTCTTGGGGGGGGCTACAGTAAGAGTCAATCAAATCAAACAAAAGATCTGCTTTTCCTTTGTTTGTCAAATACATGATGTCGCTGTGCTGCGATAATCTGAGACTTTAGCTGAGCAGCTGCTTACTGACATGAGAGTTATTGGCTTGATTCTTCAATTAGAAGAAAAGATTTGAAAGCAAAACGCCCTAAGACCGATGTATACCGGAAAGGGTGTATGGCGAAACTTCTACGTCCTCTTCAGTTGTAAGGCCAGCCATCACTGTCTACATTTGTAGTTGATGGGATTTGGCAGTGTCTAGTGGGAAGTGATGGCATGTTCTCATTCGCTGGCAGATTTGCTACTCAGATTTATGCAATTTATTACATTGAGTACCATTTAAGTGGCCTAGAGCAGTGGTTCTCAATCTTCCTTTACTGCAGTTCTTCAGATTAGGGGGGAAGCCCTTCAGACAGATGATTATTTACATTGCTACTTTACAACTGTAATTTTGCTGTTGTTATGAATCATAATGTAAATATTTTTGGAGATAAAGCTTGCCAAAGGGGTCACAACCCACAAGTTGAGAGCATTGGTCTAGAGGTTAACCTCAAATATTAAAGTTTTCATCTAAAGGACAAAGATTCTTCTTTCTTATAGTCTGTGAAGTCGTTCTACATGTGAATGTATTGTGTTTATAGATATGATGTTTTCACAATACAGATGTTCGAAAACTTGCCAGGTGGACCAGTTTATCCATTTCTGTCCGTCTTTCTCCATCTCCCCTTCCTCTACCTCTCTATCTTATATCCTCCTACCCTATGAAATCTGGCCCAGCATCTATAAAGAGGAGAAGAGAGAACAGTGGTTGTTTCTAGAAAGTTCTCTACTTAGGAAGCAGTGAAAACTGACAGATGGATCTGCGTATAAGCTGATGGTGCTTGCTTGCTAAGGGATGAGGTGAAAGCACTGGGAAAAAAGGGGGAGGGTGGTTCAGTCGAGATAGGATGATGAGAATGAATGAGTTAGGGACTCCAGCAGAGGTGGACGGCAGCTCTCCAGTGTCTAGAGCAGTGTCCTGAATGCCCAACATGCGCTCCA